TAAGGGCAGGAAAACTCCACCTGGAAATGAATGCCCTCAATGCATTTGTAGATGTAAAGTGTGGTTTTCAACCCTTACCGAGGAGATGGGCTTAAAGTCAGGTGTTCAGCACGTGGCCAGAAATTGCGCAGACCATCACAAGAGCATGGAGATGATCCTGATAGCCATCAAGGGCTCAACAGATGAGATGCTGGTGCCATATGTGCGGGAGAAGTTGGAAAGTTGTCTACGTTTGTGGTTGAGGATGTTAAATCGTACTACTCAGACAAGGTGTCACTTGTAGATAGAAAGGTCCACACAATAAAGAAAGAAGATTTGTTGGAACTGCACCATGAAGACCAAAATGAAGCTGTGGAACAGGAAAACATATAGTGCAGTACAGATGGATATGCTCACAAATACAGCTCAGACACAGTAATTACTTCTTGATATGACAGTAATGTCAACAATTATGTGATTTTCCTTTATTCTCCTGTACAGCATAACTGTGTTGTAATATCATTGTAATGATTCTTGTGAAATAGGAGATAACATGTGATTCTTCTGTGTGAGCCAAGTAGGTGGCTGGCATCTCCTTCGCCCAGTTACAATGTATGATTTAAAAGTAACTTGTTCTGTATAGTTACATGTAGGAGCAAGAAATATGGCAAAATGAGCGGGAAGGGGGGGGGGTCATGGTCTTCTGTCATGGAACCCCCAATCAAAGAGGTACAGGCATATTGGTTAAAAATATTGATCCTGTATTCACCAAACAGGTTGACCCTGATGGTAGATGGATTATTGTTTTACTTATCTGTAGATGATTTTAGGTTTTGTATAGTAAATATTTATGCTCCTAATGAAGATACACCATCTCCTCCGCCCAGTTACAGTGTATGATTGAAAAGTAACTTGATCAACATAGTTGCATGTAGGAGGTAGAACTGTACGTGTAGGTTACAGTACATTGCAAACAATGCACTAATGACAAGCCCCTGGAATCACCACTTCGCCGTAGAAAGCATACACATCAACCCCAAAATCATAAAGACAAGTTTGCAGGTGATACAACAAAGCCCATAGATTATGCAGGGGTGACTTATTAAGTGATTTGACATTGTTTTCTCCTTAAAGAAATGTGATAAGTTGGATTGTGTTGAATATCTGTAGCTGATGACATAAGGTTCCCAAAATAATTTTTAGTAATATATATGCATGACTTGGAAAATACCATGGTCGCGATATCCATTCGTGGAAATATCAGAAAACAAAAGAGAGGTGCGACTTTCACCCAGCAAAAACATGTTACTGTCCGAAGGGCAAGAACTAAACAAAGGGCAGGAGTCCCCCTGTGGCAAGGGCTCGCTCTACAAGTCAAGTCACACTCAAGTCTACTAACAGCAACGGGCTCCCTCGCGGAGCCCTTGTGGTAAGCTGTTGCTCTGAACTAGTGTTTTTGTTCGCTAACACTAGTATTTGTGCAAACGGAGTGTTATTGTTTCTTGGACTAAATGTGACCAGTGATTTGTAACGTCTTTGATCATTTTAGTCTTCGTGTGACTTTATTATTTTGTATTACTTTTGTCACTTTGTTACTATTATCATTATTATTGTTGTTATTATTATTTCCTAACTGTGGCCTCTTTTATCTTCGACTGCGTGTAGTGTTAAATATTAAATGTTATTTTGCCCATCAAACCGGTCAGCTGTGTGGAGAAGGGCAGGGAGTTGTCACCACCCTTTCGAAGCCAGCCTGGGAAGAGGTAGGCAGGATTTCACCTCTCCCATAGCGCCCTGTCAAATCCAACACTATAAAAAAATACTTTAAAATAATTTCAAACCAGCCCTTTCACAATATATATCTTTCTCCAATCTGACACCGGCAAGAACAAATGGGAACTATTGATGACACTCGATATAAAATTGACAATTCCCAGAATTATCTCTAAATGGACTTTGAGCAACACAACCCTATAGATGAGAGTGCTAAGAAAATAAAAAGATGATTGAGTAAATGTTTGGAAGACTGTAGAATACATTCTTGTTGAAAAAAATACCCAAGGGAATCAAAACATTAAGAAATTCTGAGACCATATGTCAAATTTGAATCAGCCCCAAGATTTAAAATATACCCAGTACAAAGTGGACTCGGTGTGTATCTCATTGTAATACATATGTACTTTATGGCAAATGGTCTCCAATCTGGTTATTCGAGGTGTTGAACTTCAGGGATCTTGCAGACAACAGTGCCGTCGTGACAACCATCATTGTGGGGCTCTGTCTCTACTCGCTCACATCAGTCGCGATCAAGATCGCTGAGCACACAGGAAAAATGTGGACTCAGTGTGTCTATCATTATTCTAATACTTCAGGGCAAATAGCCTCCAAATAATGAAAAATACATACAACAGTAATCTGTCAAACCTACAATATATAATCACAAGAGATAATAATTAGTGGTTGGATAGCGGTTCTACTACAGATACAATCAGAACTCACTACCAGTATCACTATCATAGCTTATGTTCTGTTTAGGGGATGTGCTGCAAGCAGAGACCAGATAAACACAGCCATTCTCAATCTCGGAGTGCTCATGGCATTTCAGAATGCGAGTTTTTAGATGATGTCACATGAACACGAAACATTAGGTCCAGTGTTGGCCCAGTTGAGTTCGCAACTGCTATGACCATGTTTCAAGAGTGCGGTTTAGCCTTTAAGTAACCCTGATCGATTTCCAGACGCGAATATCATTTGATTTAGTAGAACTAACAGAATGCACATATATACCCGTCCCTCCTCAATTTGGAAATTGCCTCTATCCATAATAGAATAGGTAGTGTTGTCGAGACACATTACCTCCTTACATTTCACATTACATCTGAAACAGCCACCGCACCATGTGTGTGAGAACAACTATTCTAGTAACAATCATTGGTGGACCATTTGGATAATGTCTGTCCTTCAAAAGTTACCTGTATGTACAACCATCACAATAAATTTCACAACTGACAGCTTTCAACATATGACAATCAACTAACAGAACTGGACTTGATTTTACAAGTTACAAGTTTCAAAATAACAATTACCAATTGTACATGCAGAACTGTACCGGAAATCTCTCGAAAGTTGTTCCTTATTTTCTTCCTGTACCAAACACATCTGCAAAATAAGTTTAAGGGAAAAGTGCAAACATGAAAAATTGATTTGAGGCATTAACATCCAAAAAACCCATCTAACTTAGCTGTACAAGCCCCCACTGAGCCAGCGGCACAGTCCCCGAGGTCTGGGTTTCCAAGAGGCTTGGCAGCTTTTCAAGAACACCTGACTTACACACCACGAGTAAGCTGGATGTTCTGCCATTTCCATTCAGTGTTTGCTCTTTTGTCATCTATGTAAACATATAAGATGTGTTTGGATTCAATGATGCTATTATCAAGGACTGGTTGTATTTCCCCGGTGTTTCTGGTATCGATGCTGAGATGATTTCTCCTGACGAAGTCTTACGTCATCAAACCCAGACTCATGTCCATCTTGTCACAATCCTCTCTTGGTTGACCTGTAAAAATTAATACCTCATTTAGGACCACGTATTCATATTCATAGAATGCAAAGGAAGACATATACAGTGCTTGAGTGTGCAACATAGTACAACTGTACTGACTGATACAATCTGATACAAATCTAGTCAATTTCTGTCAACTGTAGTGTCTAAACTATACTATCCCTTTATTTCGGCTAGTTTCTACTTTTTTTTTCCAGCAATCCGCGGTCCCTGGTAGAGGCTAATGCAAATTCCTAGTGGCCCCACGTGGTCAAAACAATAGCCAGCAGATAAAAGGCTGCAAATATCCGTTACAGTTTTATTCTCGCTCTCATAATAACGTCGATATACTGACCGGGCTGAGGGTGAATGTAACCCAATAAACAGATAACTGTTACACTATATGTATGTGTTGTAGTTATCCGTGCACCTAGATCAGTAAATGGCTAAGCTAATACTGGGTTGCTTGCGCTCAAGCTCAAAGAGCTCTTGTGTAACAGAAATTTTCGTGTGCATACGTTCAAAATAACCAACAAATTGCGGTTCACACCCATATAGCTCAGTACGGAAAGCAACACAGGCTACTTTTTCAAGCATAAGCTAAATATGCCGATCAGATTCAGAACCATCGTTTTCGCTCCATGAAAAATTATCCGACGCAACAAAAATCTCGATTTCTAACAAAGGACTAACGGGCTGAACGCCTTGAGTGACCGTAACTAACAGGACGGTTCCTCACCAGTAACATCTACAAACCCAAATACACTGCGAAACAGCTTTTCTATGCAACAATTGCGGGTTCGTGACTAACTAAAGAAAAGAAAACAACCTCACCTCTACAGTGGCCGCCCTGAACTGACGCTACCAACAGGAGACAATCACAGCATTACAAGTATATCCATCCGCTCAGACATCTGGAGAGTCGCAAAACCCGAAATAAAGGGCAAAAGAACTCTAAACCTCCAAGACATGGAATCGTTATTATAGTAGTATGTGGTAACTGCCAAGTTACCTTCATATTCGGCTGACTGTTACTGTAGACGAGTCCTGTTTGCTTTGCACTACTTTATGGCAGCGAATTGATACAATCTGTCTGGCGGAGGTTAATCGGCGGGGCCTATAGAAAGCCGCGAGGCTCGTTTAGGGTTTTACAAAACATCGTTCTATCCAACATTGGCGAGCAAACGAAACGTATTTCGGTCCGAACCTCCTGATTAATACCTTCGCCAAGACGGTTATGTTTTCGAAGGTGTTCGTGTGTGTGTGTGTGTGTGTGTGTGTGTGTGTGTTCGTGTGTGTGTGTTCGTGTGTGTGTGTGTGTGTGTGTGTGTGTGTGTGTGTAGCCTCCTGCGCAGGCCCCGCGGCGGTGGGGAAGAGTTTTTAACGCATTATTTTAATATAGCCGGCCATCCTACATAGCCGCCGAGGGAAGGTTGCTTTCCGCCCACGGAAAAATAAAACAAAAAGTATGGAAATGTGTTCGGAACACGACGACCAAGATTTACGATTTATTTTTAATAATTTGTACAAAGGTCTGAATAATATCAAGGCTCAGCAGTGCAATGCCACTTGCAGATGGCATGGTTGTGATAGTACAAGTACTTTTTCTTCGATTTCAGATCTCAATGAACATTTATACAAACATCATGTAGTTTGTAGTGATGCAAATGTACCACCTTGTCAGCGTGTGTATTCCTGTTTGTGGGATAATTGCACCCATAAACCCTTTGGTACGTTGAAAGCCTTAAAGTGCCATATAACTGAACACACAGGTGTAGAGTCTGACAAGTTCATTTTGATTTTGTTGGCAGATCAGGCCAAAGCCCTGGTGACACCTAAACGCCAGATGCGATGGCACCCACTTGTAATCAGATGGTGTTTAAGACATTATCGCTCAAATTCTAAGTATGAGGCCTTGTCTAAGTCTGGCTTCTTGAGACTCCCAAGTGGACGTACTTTGAGAGACTATAAAAACTTTTCTACCGCCTCAAGTGGGTGGCACATTTCTTCTTTACAGAGAATGAGGGAAACTTTTCATGTAAAGAAAATCAAACCACATGGAAATGTAGGCTTCTTAGCCTTTGATGAGGTGAAAATTAAAGAGGGTTTGATTTGGGAGCCGAACACCAATAGATTAGTAGGATTTGTGGATGTCGATGAAATCCCCACAGATCTAGATCTTACAACTGTCAGATCTCCGAAGTCTGAAAATGTGCAATGTCATGAGCAAGTAGCGACACATGTGATGCAATTTATGTTTAAGAGTTTATTTGCACCATTTTCTTTTCCTGTTGCGTACTTCCTAACAAAACGTTTCACAGGAGTACAGATTAATCGTATGTTCTGGACAGGAGTTGGTATGTTACATGATTTTGGTTTTCACATTGTACTTTCTGTATGTGATGGTGATTCAGCTAATCGCACTTTTATTAGAATGAACACTGGCGATACTGGTCATATGTGTGAGAATACTTTCAGTTCAGGTCCTATTTTTTTCATGTCATTTCACCACACCTAATGAAGAAGCCTGCGGAATAATCTGTATAGGGGAGACTCTGCTCAATGGGTGCTGCATTGAAACATATGGAAAAACAGGCATAAAAATGGGCATCATCATCTCACCTTAACGAAGTTTTAGTGACACAATCTCACCTTCATATGTTAGCCCATTTATTAAAATGGACCTACAAGAAGTTTCGGGAAAAAGTGGACGGCGAGAATCGAACTACAGCTGTTCTACCAAACACAGGCGCACTTTGACCCCATATCCCAGGTTGATTCCAAGGTGGTAAAGCAGCAGGGGTGTGAGCCAACAGAAAAGCCAATAACAAGGCAACTTTATGAAAAACCTCCATTTTTTTGCAAAAACATTCACTCAAAACCCTACTATGTACATCAGCATGAAAGTTCATCTGAGTTGGTAAATTACATTATGAAAAACTTAAACTGTTCTCCAACTCAAAATTTGACTCACCAGAAATTTTCGACTGAATCACTCAGTCTTCCTCAGCTATCTGACCCAAATGCTGTGGACACGTGATTTTTCCCACGTGTGACGTCAGCAACGTGACGCTACTATGTACAATCCACCACAAAAATGCCAAGGATTCAACAAAATTTCCACCAAAAAACGGTTTTAAAGTTATTTAGCTCATTTTAATTTTGAGGTCTCTCATCCAGCAACTTGTGCGCATACCCTTCAACCCGCGTCACCCCTTGTACAGCAGTGGACATGAGCATTATCACACTAGATGTTTACGGTATGATGGAAAAGACATAATTTGGAAACACATACAGTCAGTTTTTGACAGAGATAGAAAACGCCCACTTGCTTTGACTAGGTTAACTAAACAACATGTCTATTTAGACAACTGGGCCAAGATGCGAGTGAACCTGTCTGTACATACATTGTCCTCAGCTGTTCAACGGGAAATGCATGAACATGAAAATAATGCAACAATGGCCTGTCAATTGTATACTTCTAAATGCAATGACCTCTGGACAGTTTGTAATAGCGATTTACCTCTTAAGAATTGTGATGACTCAAGAATGGGTGAGTTAAAACATGTACAGGGGTGTTTTTGTTCTGGAAAAGAAGACTTGAAGCTCAGTTTCATTCCAAGTCAGAAGTTGCAAAACACTTCATTTCATGGCAAACATTTGAGGACCTGAATCTGACTATTGACACTTACTCAAGTTTGATTTCTTACATATCTTCTCCTCAGTTCCAGGCTATTTATCCTGGTGTTTATGTAGTTCCAAAGAGGTTGAATGAAGATTGTGTTGAAAATTTCTTTTCCTTAGAGAGGGCTGCTGGAGGGGGAAATACAAATATGACTGCCTTTATCTATGGATATAATGTACAAAGTATTATTTCCACAAGTACATGTAAGGCAGACCTGAAGTCCAATACTTCAGGTCCTGTCAATCTGGAGGAAATGGCCTGTGCTACTTTGCCGAAACGTCGAAAGACTGACAGTGACTACGATGCTGTCTTATGGCCAGTAGGTTACCTTGTGTGTAGAATTCAAAACATATATATAGCAAGCAGACTGTTGTTTGTCAAGAGCTGTATATTTTTTATGCATTAAGTAAAAATAATTAATCACAATAATCTGTGTGAAGAAGAGTGTGTGTTTTGGATGCCACAAGAAAAATACAGGTGAAAAATCAAACACTTCCAAATCCAAGTCTTCATCGGTACATTCCTTCCTAAGTTGGAGACATACACATACTACAAGTACTAGGAAATGAGTCATACCCAAAATATCATACATTTTCATTAATACTTCATCAAAGAAACTGACAGTTATTTTGCCTCACCACATCTGCTTGAAGATGTAAACAATATGGCAGCTCATCAGATTTTTGGCCTACTTTTGAAGTGCATATTTCTTCATCAAAAGCCTGTAGGAACCCCATATTCTTTTGTATGACAGGGACATAAGATTACTATTGAGTAATAGTACTTCTTGGTGGGTGTGACCAATATGGCCGCCATTATTTTGGTCAACTTTCAAACTCTATATTTCTTATCAAGAACATGCATGAACCCCATATTCCCTTGTATGACAGGGACATATAAGTACTATTGATTCATAGCACTTTTAGAAAAATCAGACATGTTTTGGATTTCCGGCCAATTTTGGAATGTTGGTGGGTGTGACCAATATGGCTGCCATTATTTGGGTCAACTTTCAAAGTCTATATTTCTTCCTCAAAAGCATGGATTGTTTTGACATTCTCTCATGGCTTAGAGACATTTAAGTACTATTGACTGATAGTACTTTTTCAAAGATCAGACATGTTTTGGATTTCCGGCCAATTTTGGAAAGTTGGTGGGTGTGACCAATATGGCCGCCATTATTTTGGGCAATTTGTCAAGTCTATATTTCTTTATTAAAAGTATGCATGAGATTGACATTCCCTGTTATTATGGGGACATGTACGTACTATTGATTCATAGTACTTTTTAAGAAATCAGATGTGTTTTTCTATTTCCGGCCAATTTTGGAAAGTTGCCAGGTGTGACCAATATGGCTGCCATTATTTTGGTCAACTTCCAAAGTGGATATTTCTTTATCAAAAGCATAAATTGACTTGACACGCCATCAGGGGTTAGGGACATATAAGTACTATTGATTCATAGCACTTTTAGAAAAATCAGACATGTTTTGGATTTCCGGCCAATTTTGGAATGATGCTGGGTGTGACCAATATGGCTGCCATTATTTTGGTAAAGTTTCAAAGTCTATATCTCTTAATTAACCCTAAACAGTACACCTGGGGTCCGCGCGGACCCCAGCACTATATATTCTGTAATATCTTTTTGTTTCTAAGGTATTTTTTCTGAAATTTTAGGTAATTGTCACCCACAAAGTTGTCTATCAATACAGTGCAGAAAACTCCGTTTCTACCTATTTATAAAAAAATTATATCTGATTTTCTTTTGGGGTCCGCGCGGACCCCAGCCGGCTTTCGATCATAATGGATACACTGGCGTTCTTATACATTACCTTATTTCCGTTTTTATATGTTTTTATGCATTCATCGTATGTCTACCAAGTTTTCAGAGAATGGTGTAGTAATAGAATCAAATTTTAATAACTTTGGTGTAATTATGACGTCATATGACGTCAGAGCTAATAATATAGTCCGCCATATTGAATTTTGACCAATGACGTCATCAAATTAGCATATTCTATGCATATTAAATGATTTAACTAATATTTAATTATGTAAGATGTTATAAATGTTGGAAAAGAAGTGTAATTTTATATAAAACTCAGAAAATGTTTATGTTTAAACCAAAATTACTTCTATTTTCAAAAAAACTACCCGTTGCCATGGCAACACAAAAAAACATCAACTTACTAGTAAAAAACTAATATGAACTTTTTTCCAGAGACGCTTTAGGAAAGGTCTCCAAATTTGATACTTCTACCGCAAGCCGTTTAGCCGCTATCTGAGATCAAAGTTGGGCCTCAAAAGCCCCTTCAGTCTGAAATGGGTTTAAAAATCGGGTATTTCTTCTTGTCTTCTTTTCTTCACCAAAAAATAGAAAAAGTTCAAAATGTATGATTTTTGTATGTAATGTGGACACAGAGGTTCCCACATCAGTTTGCAAAGCAATTGAGCTGGTAGCATGTTGATAATTTCTAAAAATTAGCAAAAAACTGTTCTGGGGTCCGCGCGGACCCCAGGTGTACAGATTAATCAGTCCGGGAAGGTGTTCTGTTGAGGGTTAAAAGTATGCATGAGCTTCATATCCCCCTTTGTGACAGGGACATATAAGTACTATTGAGTCATAGTCATTTTATTAGTTATATTAGTTATACTTTTCACTATTTGTTCATTCATTGAAAGTTGCCTAGTTTGAACAAAATGGCTGCCCAATTTTTAGCCAGCTTTGCAGGTATATATTTTCTGATCACAATCATGGATTGGCTCAGTATTCCCTCATACATTGTAGAAATATAAATACTACTTGTACATGCTACTTTGGTGAGATGTACACCAGCTGATCAAATTCCAGGGAATGTTAAAACCTGAATACACTTCTGCCCTGTGGGAGGGGGGCAGGTAGACATAATGTTAACATTGTCATTTTCTCACGATCGGTAAGGCCGATTGACTCCAAATTTTCTGTGTAAGTAGGGTCTATCGAGTTCTAACGAAGTGTGTGATCCAAATTCAGCTACATATTAATGTACTTGTTTACGTCTCATTTTAACACATCAAAATTGAACAAAGTGTGGTATCAGAAGGTGACCTGTAGATATAAGAGGCTGAAGAAAGACAATTGGCACTTTACCAAGTTGTCATGCAGAAGGAAACACCGACATAGTCCCTGTCCATACCCACCTTCCTTCTTATTGTCCACGGCCGTCCGGACGCACAGTCCCCCGAGTTCTGCAGCACGTAATTTCAGCCGCCCTCCCCGGGCGCCATATTGGTGCAGCAAGCCTCATGTACCCCACAATACCGTAGTTTCCGTCCCCCTCCATGTTTGATCCCATGGATGGGGTCACGAAATTTGGATGGTAGGTAGTTCTTGTGGTAGCAGAACACAGTTTTCGCCCTATGGGGATTTCTATAGTTAAGGACCCCAAGATGACTCACTTCGACGCGGTAAAAATTATAGCAGGGTGCACTTCACAAATACGAAAATCGAATATGTTTGAGAACAAGGTACAAACTACAAAATATCTAGAAACTAAAAAATCCTGTCGGCGTATCTGCTCGTAACGTACGTTTTGAAATCACCCCCTACGGACGTGACCTGAACTGCAGCCGACTCACCCGAAAAGCCAGTTGCGCAATACGGCGCATTTATACACGAACTGCAAAACCTTCACAATTCAAATCACACAGTCTCAAACCCGATACATTCCTACACCACACAGCACAATTTACATCTGGCTGACGCTCTTATCAGTCTTTCTACCCAGCCTTCAAGAATATTCGCTGCACTACTTTCTATACCCGCGTCATCGTCCCCGGGGGTCGTCCGGCATTAATACTGTGTTCTGCTACCTTGTGCCGGGGAAGAAATGCATGACTTGAGTTTGGGCCCCCTAGCGGCTGCTCTGTCACTGCATGGGCATTTGTTTAAAACTATTCTCGCGATTTTTGGTATGTGTGATTTTTGACATAATTATACGACAATTATGCAAATATGGATGTAATCTGCATGATTTATGAGGAAATTCTATAAATCAGCTTTATTTCAGGATAGGACTATGAAAGCTTGTGACATATGTAATTGAGAATGAGAGAAACACTGACAGATATTAATTATGTGAATGAAGACTTAAGTTGCATAATTAATGAGAAAATGTTATAATGTTATGGTGACTAAAACTGACATCAAAATTCGAGTGTTTTAAGCCTATTTAAGGCAAAACTTTGTTTCTGATTTTCGGTTCAGGCTAGGGCTCCTTAAAATCGCGACCCTCTTTTCGTTGGCTGGTGTTAAGTGATAGTTTGATAAATACTTCACGCAACTTATGCGGCGCTTATTTCAACTACTCGCTCCTACTCACGGCAACATCACCCAGGTTGTGTTTTGCGCCTCGTAAGAACGCAGCCTTTCACACATTTGATAAGGGCCGCTGTGCTACTTAATAGGCCATTCACGGCAAAATAGTAAAGACTTTGATGTCGGACTCCTTTGATTCGGAAAGTGCAAACACTGTTCATTTAAGGTCAAAATCTGACACATTCTTCATTTTATTTTAAGCGATGAAGCAAAAACGCGACCCCCTGCTGTTTTACTTGGGCAACGCATGACGTCACGATCCCAACTTTAAAGGAGGATTTCCGCACGTATGAAGCACGGAAAGGGCGCTAATACCACATCTATCCCAAGCCAAGGACGAGAGCAGGTGTTTCCTTCCGTTTTAACTGATTTAAGAGGAGCTTTCTATGGAAACTAAGGACACATATATCCACAATCGTTTACTAAGGACACATATATCCACAATCGTTTAGTAGGGTCACATATATCCACAATCGATATCGTTTAGTAAGGACACATATATCCACGGTCGTTTAGTAAGAACACATATCGATCCACAATCGTTTGCTAAGGACACATAATATTTGGGGAGGGAGGGGCACTTGCATGTTTATAGTCTGACTGATATTTACTTGGTGCAGGGGACTGACCAAAGTCCATATGCGGGGCTTTCCATAACGCCATTATAACTAAAACGCCATATTTCTAGGCTTTCCTGGAGTCTTTTTCACAGACTAACCGACTCCAAAGATCCTTATCTGTTAGAATCTCTAGCCTTGCAGATGGCAGTGAGTTTTCGTGTAGTTTTGTCGTGGCCGTCACACACTGAGAAGTGCGTCTTTTACGTGATATGATGTGTGTCCGTTCTGAGCAACGTTTGCAGAAGAACTTGACCTAGAACTA